GTCTAAGTCCTTTGTTCGCGAAACACTGCAATCCCTTGCACTGATTCATTCAATAGGGCAACAAATATGTTATAGGTAGCAGCTAAAAATATATACTCATATCTGCTTGCTACTTAAAATAGCAAAATATTCCACAATTCCACAATAAAGTATTAATTTCCGCACACACGTTACGTTCGCTTTGAAGTGCGTTCTATAATGTCTTTATATAAATTGTCATTATGCGTCGACTCTCGTAGCAATTGACTCATTATAATATCAAAAGTGGCCGCAAGCAATCTACTTGTATGTATGTATGTATGTATTTATGTAGGGGAACTATAAATAAAAACGTCATGCTGATTGATTTTTACTAAGTACGCGTACGTGTACTCGTATTCGCATTTTCTATTTCGAACGCACACGCGCGCATCTCAAGAGGCTGGGCTGTCGAGCAACTTGAGCGCTCAAATAAATCTATTTTCGCTTCAATATTTGTGCTTTATTTAAAAATACAGCAGCATCGGTAGGCACAGCAACAGCAACAAAAACCTCTTCAAAGCTATTGACCTGCCGCCGAATGACAAAACATATTGTTTGCTTTTTTTATGTTTGCATATTTGTACGATCATAGATGAATTGCTATGCGAAATGCTGCTGCGAGCTTTATGTGTATTGGACGAGGTTAAAGAACTGCAAAAACATTTCAATTAATGTGAGATAAAATGTGATAATTTGAAAAGTCGCTGACATGCCATTGACTGCAGACAACAGACGGACTATGCTCAATCGCTGAAGGGATCGAGAGTGGAGTCCGCTGCGGGTCTGTTGCAGCAACAGCAAGTGCCAACAGCAACCACATCAAATGAAGATTGATGGGCCGTCATTCGAAGATATAAACATTGACTGACCATTGTTTGGCACACTGAACTACATACATAATAATAACTACAACCAAACTGACATTTCCCTCCACTTGTCGCCACTTTTGATATAACAATGATGATGATGATGAAGAATTGTTTTATCTTGTAATGTGCAGCAAGCATTTTTACCCAACTAAATCGTATATATTTTAGTTATTATTGTTATAATGAGTAGCGGCTATAGCGACAGCAACGGAAACCACCTGAAGCGTTTGAAGGTGTCTCAAAAGAAAACGCACCGTTACGGCCATCATACAGTACTCTGAGCAGCGCATTTGCAGACGATAAAATAAAAAAAAAATCGCAAGCGTTAAAGAAAAAGAAGAAAAACGAGAGAGAAAAATAAAACTAACTTTGAATTGTCGTTGTCACTTAATGCTGCATGTCTTGGCTGACAGAACTAGAAAAACCAACTTTGTTAGCATACATACGTGCATGTGTATAAGCAGGTAGAAATATGTGTCTGTGTATGTGTATGTGTGTGTGTGTGAGTGCATGTGTGTGTTTGTGGCTATGTGGGTTGACCATGGCATAGATGTGCACGGCGTTTCGTTTTGTGCAACTTTGATTTGTCGTCGCTTTTGATATGCACACCTATGGTAACACGAGCGTCGATAAATGCAGTCTTTTTTCGTTATTATTATTGTTATTGTTATTATCATTGGTGTTGCAGCTCAGCTTTAAGCAGAGGCAATCAACTAAGGTGTTTTGCGAATATGACTACACAATTATTTACATACACTCGCATATGTGCCGTATGCTGTCTGTGCACCATTTAAATGAAACTTTGCAGTCAGCACGTTGCAGTTGAGAAATTGCAGCTGCTATTTGCATAGCGATATTTCCCTGATGATAGTCCCACCCACAAGATAAATCTCAAGTCCCCTACAAACTGTGCACTACTCGGCTTCCACTTCAGTTGTGGATTACAACATCACACGCACATTACTCACACACGCAGTGGGCTGCACTGTGGAATAGATAGCTAAAAACCCTTCTCAAATATTGCATTCGCTTATCATCAGATCCCCAAAATACTATTCTGAGTAAAGATGCCATGCTCATGGGTTGCATTTGAAAGCCAATCTTTTCATTAATGGAAACATATCAAAGCTCTTAACCTCAGATAAGGTTAAGGGTAAGTTTACCAATTTACAAAATGATAATAATAGGCTCTAGTTTAAATTGGCCAAAGACAATCCACATTTTTGGTTATTGTTTTGGACTAAAAAAGGATTTGAATTGGAATATCACATATAGAAACATTTAACGAAGACTTCATGAAAATGATATCAGAAACTTCATTAGGGATGTAAGGATTCAAAATTAATATAAGTTTTTATATGAAATTTTTTGAAAATTTTCTATTTGGACATAAATTTTAACTCTGAAATAAAAGCTAAAAGAAAAATCTAAAATCTACACTATAACTTATGGGTAAAAGAGTGGGCTTATTCAAATGTATATATGCAGCAGATTGAAGTATATGAAATGTATTGTTGATCAGCAATACGTGAGAAATCAATCTAGACATTTCCGTCTGTTCTTTTGTACATAGGATCTCCTAGAATTTTGAAGAACTCATTCCATTGTAAACTCTTTTCATACATATTAATGTTTATAAATTCTAATTTTCTATACATTTAAAGTTTATACTTGTAGCACTCTCCCTTTAAAAAAAAAAAAAATATCAAATTGTTTTAAATAAGATATAAAATAATAATACCACCGAAATATTGAGTTATGTCCGAAAACGGGATTGAAATTTAAATCGAGACCATTTATTGTAATTAAGAAAGGCCACTGTAAAGAATTAAGTATGAGAAAAATAACAAGAGAGAACGCTACAGTCGAGCAAGCCCGACAGTGTAATACCCTGTACCCAGGTAAACTTCCGCCACTGAGTTATATGCGCCCAAAGCAGCAAAAAGAGGAAGAAGAAGAGCGAACTTGTTGCTGCAGTTTGGGGGGGTTGTACTGGCGAGAATTTGTTTCGCTAATAACTTTTCTTAGAATTGACCGAATTGAATAAAATTTTGAACAACAGTAGACAATTATATAGAAATTATGTGTGCAAAGTTTGGTTTAGGTAGCATTTGAAATGTGGACGCTATTGACGAAATTCTGTAGCGGGGGAAGGGGGGGAAAATTCAAAAAAATAAAATAAACTCGTCCTTTCTCGGACCTAGGAGAATCTGGATGCCAACTTTGGTTATTCTAGCTTTTATAGTTTCTGAGATCCTCGCGTTCATCCAGACGGACGGACAGACGGACAGACGGACGGACGGACATGTCTAGATCGATTTCTCTCGTCATGCTGATTCAGAATATATATACTTTATGGGGTCGGAGATGCTTCCTTCTGTATGTTACATACTTTGCACAAACCTAATATACCCTTTTTACCCTACGGGTACAGGGTATAAAAATAATCGAAGGAAGCAGTGAGATAATAAAAACCGGCTTAATAAATTCATTCATATCCATTCAATATTTTGGCTATTTGTCCCACTATGCAGATACGTTGCATTGATGATTACTGATGAGCCTGCCCAAATGCTGTTGTTGATGAGCCAGCCAGCGTAGTTTTTTTGTAATTTTTCCTGGCCGTAGGCCCGAAAGAGCGTCTGTTTATATTCAACCATCTATCATACGTTTTAACTGCGCATACAATGCGAGACTAAGACTGGCTCTTTACATAAACCCAATGCACCTTTTGCCGTGTGAATTTTCAATTTTCACAACGGCCGCTGCTCTGCCCCCACCAACCACAACAGCCAACACTTAGTTTATGTTTTCCATCGTGCATTTTCGTATTGTTGGGTCCAGTTATCAGGCGCGGGCTATTTGCAAATTACAGACGCGTTTGCCATTCAATGCCTGACATCTGATCATAATTTGTGATTTGGTGCTTTTCTGACTCCAAAGAAAGCGCGCAAATGCCGCATTGCGCAACCCTTTTGGAGGGGGGAGGGGGAGAAACGCCTTTGGGGCTTCGGTCATTGAAATTTAATGAGACATAGTTTCCGCTACATCGTGCTAAGCTGACATAACTCTCGCCAATGCTACTGTTGCAGAGTGAGATACGTGTGTCACACTTTTAGATACTATGTACTAGTTGGTTCCACTATGTATGCAAAAGGCTGCTAATTAATGCAGCAACATGTTCGCGCATGCAGGTTTAAAAACACGCAGTTGGCCAATAAAGTAAAGCACCATTCCAACAGATAGACTGCTCAAGCTAAATAGTAAAGCAATTTGAAATGTTCACTTGATGTTAAGGGGCTACCTTTAAACCAGTTTTCCAAAGCTAATATTTAAAACTGCGGAGGATAGTTAAAAAACCCGCTAAAACTACAGGTACAAATTGTGAAACTACAGGCAAACGTAAACACCGTATTTATGCATTCACTTCAATATACATATGAGCTCTTCTGTTTTGATTTCCAAACTAAAGAAACTGAGAAGAACCTAGACCTAGAATAGAGAGAATGTTACAGTCAAGTTAACCCGACCATGAAATACCTTGTGCCCAAAAGAAGCAAAAAGAAAAGCAAAAAGAAAAGCGAAAGTTGCTGCAGTTTGGCGTGCCATAGTATTGGTAATAATTATTTTTAATTATTTTGAAACGGTGGTAGGGAATTGATGGAATTTGCCGTCTTTTTTTTCATACATTTTCGATAAACTTGTCTTTTTTTAATGGGTGTCTCAACCGGTATTTCATTACGTGATCTAACTGTTTTGCAAAAAACTTTTTTTTACTTTATATTACTTTCATAAAATATTAATACAAATTATTATTATACATTACGCAAGTAGATAGAGAGGTCAAGATTATATTTGTTTACATGTGAGAGAGCTCAAAAGTTAACAAATATATTTGACCTCTCGAACATGTCAACAAACCCTTATCTCCTTTGACCTTTGGTCGTGAATCACATCCTGTTCCAAAACCTCCATCCTATACTACTAACAAAAGTTAGGCAATTTTTCTACTTTACTAGTTTCTTTCCATGTTGAGTTATAATTGTTAAGAATCTGTTGATTTTCATTATTCTAGAATTTGTGAAATAGCTATTATTTTAATCTTTCCAGCCTGCGGCCTCCACACAAATAGGCGCCTTTGTATTGAGGTGCCATGCCCATTTGCAAAAACTCGCCTACAACGGCGAGCAATAAGACGGCCGCAGATATATCCGCCGATCATGTAACCGAGGCGGCTCAGGTCAAGCGTCAACGCGAGCAAGCCTATTTCAATTCTTACGATTTCGATGCAATCGAAGTGCTGCCCTACGACGAGGACGATGAGGAACCAGCCGGAAGCAATGGAAATGCAAAAGTCAATAGGGGGAAGCATCAAGTGGCCCCCTCCTCGCTATGTGACTCCGCCAGTTCCAGCGCACGTGAAGAGGATGATCGCTGCAGCAGTCGGAGCAGCAGTGGTCGCTCCTACTTGCAACATCGCATTGTTGCTGGCAATCAAAAGTTTTCATACTTGCATCGTTTGGGCGCCTTCTTCACCGGTAGCCACAGTCAGCATCACCACCCCCGTCAGCAGCAGCTGAGCGAACGTGCCTTGCCTCCTGTCCCTACTCCTGTTGCGACACCTGTGGGTGCGGCTTTGGCTGCGACGCCAACAATGGAGCAACGCACCGATAACTTTTTATTGCCACGCGCCATGCTCAAGTATCAAAGGTGAGTTAGTCTCTAAATGTTATCTGTTACTCAAAAATTTCATTAAAAATTAGTTACCATAATAAGATGCAACCCATCCACTGAGAAGTTCACATTTCATCAAAATGATTTTAAAAATAATAAAGAAATCCGTAATAGAAATTGATGCAAGATCAAGAATACAAGACATCTCTAACAAACAAACATAATTTTCCCATTTTAATATTTGTATCTAAATATTGGATAACATAGGTTTTAGGGAGCTCTAGAAACATTTATATTGACCGCAACTAATTGTGTAACCGATAGACTTAAAAGTTGTGTTAAAAACATAAACGTACGCAGCATATAAATAAAATAGTTTCATTTGAAAACTTGTAAACATAAATTTTCTCGGATCCTGCCTTCTTTCGTCTATACAGTATTTAAAGGAGTCAGATATTTATAACATTATATATTTTTTCTAATCTTCTAAAATTGTCTCTGTATATTAGTTAGCCGATTTGTTTGTCACCTGTACTGCAAAAAAGTCTTCCTTATTTCTTGGATATGTCGAATATCCCAGCTTCAATAATACCCTCAAGTGGTTAACATCCGAAAGACCAACTGACTTGTTTGTCTATTTGCATTTTAGTAAGTCATCGTTTTCTAAAGAAAAGTCATTCAGTTTTTGAAGCATTTGTGTAAACAGTTTCCTTTAATATACAAAAGTGTCATAATGTTGAACAAATAAAATGAAATAACGTTGGTTTCTGAAAGTATAATCATTGCATTGCCTTCAATTGATTGCAGCCTTAATTAGGGCGCCGACAATTAACGTTAAATATTCCACATACTATGCGTATGTTTTTTGTTTATTTATGTACAAACTCTAAATGAAGGAGCGAGACAGCAGAGACAACGCGTGACCTTCACGACGACATTGAGAAGGGCCTATCGCTAGCCCAAAACAAATAAACAAATGGCTCGTGTTGCTGTTATTGTTGTTGTTGTTTTAAGCTGTTGATACTGCCGCCTTAATATTGTTGCTGCAATTTAATTATGTTTCATGCCTCTGCTGCTGCTCAAGACTTCATGCACGGCAGCACTTGAGCCGTCAAAGATGCGCGTTTCAATTATGTTGCCGCTGCTTGTGTTGCTCTTGTTGGACTGTCTTTTGCCTGCCTGCCCATCAATTAGCACGAACTTAAGCAGATTAAATCAACGCATGAATTAATTGTAAAGTGTTGCTTTAAATGCTTATGAAAATTGATTTTAAAGTGCTACAAATTGCAGGCATGACGCTTGGACACGTGCATCAAGCATACGCCACATATGCCACTCGATTGTGTGTATGAGCATATGTACGGGTGTGTGTATTTCAATTGTGTGTCAATATCATATCAAATGCAGCCACATGCAGCAGCTGTGGTCGCCACTTTTTTGCCCGCGCGTTAACTATGTAAATTATTGTTGCATTCGCCAAGCGAAGTTCAAGTTGCCGCTTGTCAGCAGCAGCAGCAGCACCGGCAGTGGCAGTGGCAGCAACGGGAGCGGCAGGGAGGCAGGCAAAATGCAATGCGGTTTTTGGCGCCTGTCGTCAGCCTTCACCTCTTTTTGGTGCTGCAGCCTAAGTGGCAACAACAGCAACAGCAGCACCAGAGGTAGTAGAAGTAGCAGAAGCGCTGGCCATGCCAACACCACTTGACTTGCCAAGCACTTGGCATGGTGGCGGTCAACATGACAGCAAAGCAACAACAACAAAAAACAACAACAGCAGCCAGCTGCAACAATTACGTTTATTAATTGAAATTAAAGAAGCCACATACTCATACAAGTATATATGTACATATGTATGTATGCATGCCTCTGAGCCTCTCTGTTCACATGTCTGCTTTGGAGGCCACAAACGCCACAGCCTGTTTGGGTTTGAAATATTTATTGATGAAATAAAATGTTCAAGCCGATCGAAAAACCAAAAACAAACAACAAACAAAAGAAAAACAGCAACAGCACAATAAAGACAATACGAGTATACTATACATATGGTTAAAATTGTTAAATTTATTATGCTATGCATGACAAAAATATTTTAATTGGTTAGCAAATATTTTGAATATTCATCATTTTTATTATACTTATTAGTTCTCTGTATGCCAATCTTTAATAGACACAAATATACATACTTGAATTGATTCAACATATTTCAGAGATGTTTCAGATGCACCTTTTCCATTGTTTGGCTATACTCGTACACGAAGAGCCAATTAAGAGCATCTTGTAAGAAATAAAATGTGCATGGCATTTTGTTACCATTGTCTATCAATATATTGAAAAAAAGAACAATTTGTTAATACATTAGTAAAATTAATTACTCACTTTTTTATTTTTATTGTTTTCATATTTATTTATTTTTGGTTCTAAATATTTGAAGCCAATAATATTGATTTAACATTTATGGCTATAGCTCCTTTAGACAGAACCTTACAAGTTTAAACTTGACATGACAGGAATTGGGCACTCACAGACATATAATGTGTTCCCAGAATTGATAAAAATGTTCTTAGGCTTACGAGACTTATAAAACAACACGAAGAAAGGCAAAAAAAACCTCAACTTACTGTTTCTCAGACATTGAGACATTTTTAGTATACTAAGTCAAATAAGTATCCTTCTGCATGTCAGGAACTAACATTCATTCATTTCATTTATTCATAAAAATTGGCATCATAAATTGGTGTGTATCTATAGCAAGTTAATAATAAAGAGTACAGGTAATAGAACCTTATCAACTTAATTATATATAAAGTGTTTTATGAGTGAACGGACAGTTTCTAATATGTAAAAAAGGGGGGAAACATTTAATCAAAAACCCATCAGGAACTAACATACGTTCATTATTATATCATCTAACTATCGCTTGAAAAAGGCTCTTATAGATTGGTGGCAAGAAATCGTGACTCCGAAACCAATCAGCAATCGGCCTCATTATTCCAAGGTTAAGTCTAAGTTCTTCTAAGCAAAAGATCGCCAGTTTATTCGAAAAACTGGTCATGTCTCCATTGTACTTTGGAAAGAATATAGAATGGTCGATTCTATATGGTACATAGCCCTTTGTTTCCTAGTTGATTTTATGCTTCTGAAATTGGTTCCAGCGAATACAAAAGTATATTGATATTCTCTTTTTGTCTCTGTCGTTCAGATAGTTGTGCCACTTATTTATACACTCTTTGTCCTCGTTAATGCAATCGAAAATTTGAACACTTTAAAAGGGGTTAGATTTTAAAACTTATTTTGTGTTTGTTCAGATCTTTTTTATGCATACACACAATCGGCAACATATCCAAATCGACAACAAAACCAAAAGGCTGAAAATGTCCCAAAATAAATTTGCAAAACAAAATATCAAAGCGCGATTAGTTCTTTATTATTAAAATAATTTATAAAAGGTATTCATTGAACACCACAATGGGGCTTGGACTGGTATTTATTGAAATCTTTGGAGCAATGCAAATTTTATGCCAAACATTTTTTCAGCCACCGTTCACCGCGTTGCCTTCCTTGTCGATTTGAATTGGTATTAAGAAGAAGGTGAAAAAATCCTCACAATGGCATGCGAGGTCATCGACGCAATCAACGCGATATGCCATATTATAATGCTAGCTACTGCTACTACATATTTTGTTTTTAAAACGTGCTGGTTATTACTATTATTGTTTTTGTTGTTGTTGTTGTTTGGCTGCCCTTTCCCAAACACGTTGGCCGACTTCATTGAAAGGCATGCAGTGTCGCTTCGAGGAGACTGCGGATTTTTGGCATGCATTTCATGTGCCTATTTAATGTTTGATTGCAGTCCATGAATTTTAACTTGAAATGTGCGTAATTATATATAAATGTTTAAAAAAAATGCTAGCAATTTTGCACGGCGCTGTCTGCCAATGGTACAATACTCGTTCAAGTGTGTGTGACCTTTACAAATGCGTTTTGTGGCCATTAATGGAAGCATTAAATTTCCGTTAGTCGCATGGTAAGTTGTTGATTATTAAATATTAGTCAAATTAACGTAACGTGTATTCAATATTTAATAAGCATCGCCAAGGCTAAATGTTAGTTATCCATCTTGGCTATTAAGTAGATGTGCCAGTGTCTGAACAACTAAGTAAATGCAGCCGCTATTAAACGCCTGCAGCACACAATCTTGATTGATTCGCATTAGTTGTTCGAAGGACGTTAAGTAATTTTTCATTTTCATATGCATGATACACATGTTAAACTAATTGTAAAGTTAAAAAATAGTTGGGAAAAAAATAAAAAATGCAAAAATTAAAGCATGTGTAATTTTTCTTGGCAACAAGTCAACAACAATTAGTGACCACACAGACTAAGCTAACGGTTCGACCAACGAGGCTTAACATTTTAATTAACACTGTCAAGTGAACAAAATTAAATACATGTGAAAATATTGCAAAATATATTTGTGTAACTATCTGCATACATTCGCACGAGTATCTGCGTGCATACTCAACGATATACTCAACAAGTATATATAAACTGTACGAATATATGCACATACATACATACATATGTATGTATATGATTGTGACAATGTGCTGATAACCTTGTCGATTACAACGAGCCACAACAAATTACAAAAAGCAAGCGCCAAGCCGGCGCTACGCATCGATAAATATCCACAGACTCGAGATTTGAACAAGCTGCCGAATTTAAGCGCCACGACTTGAACTTAATAGCAGACCCAACCCCAACCCCAGCCCCAGCCCGATCGCACCTTATCTTTCACCAGACTTGGCTAGAGCCGGTGCCGGTGCTGGTGCTGGCGCTGGCGCTAACGCGTACAAGAACGAACCGTTATTACGCAACTTGGTCATTGCTCTGAGGCCTGCAGCTTGACCTAGTACCGTGTTCATGTGTGTGTGTGTGTGTGCGTGTATGTGTGTGTGTGCGTGTGTTTTTCTTCAATAACGCCCAACCGACTTTAAGCTGAATGGTAGTGGTTAATAAGAATATAAAAAAACATAATTTCATAATGTCAATATATTATTAAACAAACGAAATATTCATTCACATATTCAAAAAACAACAATTTAAACAAAAATTAAATAGTATTAAATGGTATATTTTATTGATGTAAAGATTTTAAAGAACAACTACAAATATTTCTCTGACCTTAGGAAGTACAGTATGCTTGATTTAATCAAATTGGCAGAGCACTCATGGCCAAAGGGATGACTAAATTGATTATACTTGTTACAAATAATGATAATAGTAATTGATTAATATTTACTTTTAATATTATATCATTTATAACAAAGGTAGATGAATTAAGGTCCCAAAGTATTGCATAAATCCATTTCTATGTATTATTGACTATTTGTTAATATGAATAAAAACCTTATTATGACGTGGAGTTGCTGAATGCTATTTCTATTGAATACTTGATTTTTTGTTTAATAAAAATTACAATTATAAAATTATAAATAAAAAAAAACTTCCATATACTTAATAGTTTTCAATTAAGGCTATTTAATTGCTTGAACTAATTGGGGATGAACGATTAAGAATATTTGTATTACTTTTAGGTCTTTATTTTATTAGGCACTTGTATTGACCCTTAATTTTTACAACTATTAGATAATTATAAAGCTTGCAAAGGGCTCTACTTTATGCGTCCCCTCTTCCATATTTTTCTTAACTACGATCAACTTTATTGTACCAATTGTTCCTATGACAGCCATTTTGATGAAACCTTAGACTAAAGTACATCATAAAACTCCTAAAGATGTACTCATGATTTATAACAATAGGGCTATAAAAAAGTTAAAAAGTTATTTTGCTAAATATAAGCAATGCGGCTTTATATACATAATTTGCATTAAACTTGGACTGAAAGACATGTTAACATGCCAGCTTTAGTGTTCCTAGCTGCTAAGGTTCAAAAGCTTATGCTGACTTGATTATACAAGAATATAACTACCTGAGTAATAAAAATTAGAACAATAACAAACTTTTGTTTGCCTTTAAGCACTTTGTTTTGGCTCTATTTAGTTCGTGTTGAGAAAAAATATGTTGTTTACATAAAAATCCAATTTGTAATGTATGTACAATGGGGAATAACGTGGAATTTTATTTTAATGTTATAGGACGGCCACAAAAGTAGGACTCCACATACATAGGAAAACAGGCAGATGTTTTAAAATAACTAAAAAAGCTTTTTATTTTCCTATATACTCGTAATTGCCTACAATTTTTTAATACTTCTACGACTTGAGGGATATAGTGGATGTTTTAGCAATTCGAAGTGAAATTTCTACACAATAAGAACTCACTTCACATTGTAGCAAAGCCAATTCAAAGGAAGGACGCTATCAGGTCTCCACTTGGTTAAAACTCTGGTTAATCTGAAAAATACAAACTTTTAACAAGACTAGATCTAAAACAAATTTTCAAGGAAAATTCGGAGGTCCTGTCTCTATATTTTGTATTGATTACTAAACTTTACTGATCATTAGAATCAATTTTTTTAAAACTAGCTTTTTAACCAGGAATGTTTTTGAATATATGTAACATATATTTTGAATATTACATAATAAAAAAACTTAGTTTAAAAATACTTTTTCTTAATTTTCTGATTTTATTGATTTTCAATTGTTTATGTACGTTGAATAAATAAGATATGTATGTATATTAATAATTTTGCTGCATACCGACATCATAAGCTCATTTAATAAATTAAAAACCTACTCGTATAGAGTATTTAGCAGCTCTTTAACATACTAAGAATGGCATAAACTATATATTCAGGCATATGCTTATGCGAATTTGCTAAATTGACGAATTATCATAGTGAAAAATATAAATATTTAAAACTTGCGAAAGCTGTAAATAAACGTCTGCACAGAAATACACACGAACGCGTCAACAAATGCTAGCCCGAATTGAAATGCCGTTTAGAACGAGTTTTATTCGATTTTCAACTTCAAAATGTTTTCGTGTATTATTTATTCATAGCCCTCACTTTAAATTGAACATAAACAAATGCGACAAATGCAATCAAAGCATAGCTACACTGCAGCTACTCCTGCAGCAGCACCAGCAGAGTATTTGACAAAAATCAACAAACAACAAAAAATCGAATATTTGCAATGGAAAAATTTGACAAGTTCTCTCTTCTACAATTCAACGAAGAGTCCCGGCGACGGTATGCATAGCTTGTACAGCCGTGATTGAAAAATTAAATCGAATTGACTTTAAAACTACCCAGCACGGTACCTAGAAATAAAATAAACATAAACAAACTGTTAGCCCAATTTTTAAACATAAACAAATGAGATATGAACTGGAAAAACTAACCAAACCACTTTCATTACAAAAAATATAAACAAACATGTGCCATAAATGAAATTTCCCTTTCAACTGGTTGCAGCAACAGTTTTCAATGATTTTTCTTTCTCTCTCTTTCATCTTTTCACAGTGTTGGTCAGAGCGCAACTTCAATGCCATCGAGTGGCTTGAACAGCAACAGTAACAATAACAATAACAACAGTGGAAGTGGCAGTGGCAGTGGCAGCGGTCAGCTGCCGGTGATGTCCAATGCGAGCAAATCGCACGACTGCCCAAATGGCCATGACAGTCAGACGGGTTTCTCAAACGAAATCAAGCCGGGCGCAATATTGGCAGCGGCATCTGCAAATGTTGCAGCAACGGCGGCCGCAGTGGCAATCCCGAGTGCAGTTACTGCCGCTGCTGGCGCGACAGCAAAAATGGTGCCGCCGCCCCGCAACAAGAAACGCTCGATTGCTTCCACTAGCAGCAGCACGCACACCATCACCGACTCGGGACTCGGTAATGAAAGAGCAACAGCTGCCCCAACGGCAGCGGCAAATGCGCATGTGGCACGTCTAAGCTCCTCGCATCAGTCACACTATTCCACCGAAAAAAGCGGTTCGTCCGGTTACTATAGCTCCAATGTGTGCTCCACATACTCGCTGGATGAGCACATCTATTGCGAACCGGTCATAGACATCCTGGATGCCAGCGAGAAGAGTAAAAGTGTGCTGGGGTCCAAGGTGCGACCACAGCTGCAGCTGCCAACGAAAGCGACAACATCGGCCACGGCAGCGGCAGCGGCAGCGGCAACGACAACGGCAGCAACAACGATTAGTCAGCGAGTGGATATGTGCAGTCATGGTAGTCAGCTTGAGGCCGCTGCTGATGCCGAGGCTGATGACGATGACGCGGACGCGAACGCCGATGGCACCAACCACAACAAGTCTCGTGGGAAGCTGGAGCAGCAATCGCAACCCCGCTACAGCGACAAGCTGCGCATTTTGGAGAACAGCATTGAGAATTTGGACAGGCATCTGAAATCCTTTCCCTGCCTCTACGCACAGGAACAAATTACGGATTTTGTGCAAAGTACAGCCGCGCCTACGGCCGCACAGTCGTTGAGCATTGGAGAAAAGCTGCGCTCCTATAACCAGTTGCCCACCATCATGGAAGGCTTTGCTACGCAACAAAAGCAGCAGCAGCAGCGACGGCACAGCTGGCAGGAAGACATGGTGGATGATTCGCTGCTGGACATCGATCTGGATGCCTTTCTGTTGGCCAACGAGCGACGCGCCAGCAAAAGACGCTCCTCGAAAAGGAGCACCAAGGGGGGCCTGGATAATCCCAGCTTCCTGACCGACGAGCAGGTCGAGGAAAACAATTACAAATGTGCCAAATACATAAATTCTTGTCCCGACGATGCCTATCGCGTTGAGAGTGACATTGGGGCCAAGGACGCCGATGTCGAGAGAATGAATGTACCCGAGGAGCAGCCCTACGGCAAGCGGTATGAGGATCAGCTGCATTTCCAAAACACCCGCGAGCTTCTTGAGGATGTTCGTGATAAAATACGCCTGCTGTCACGCTCACGAACTGACCTGCACGACGAACGCTCCTCAGGCAGCTCTAGCTCTGGCTCCGAAATACCCAAGGAACTGGAGTGCATGATACAGACTCTGAAGCAGGAGCTGGAGTCCTACTTGCAGCGCATGAATCAGCACAGCGAGCTCGAGATTCGACAGCTTTGTAGTGGACTGGGGAAGAATCAACATGTTGTCAAAATTCAAAATGCTTTCGAGCGCCGTCGCAACTCCTTCAACCTGGGCACACTGACGACCATGCACGTGAATTCCTATGAATCGGTACACGATGGTGTGGCCATGTCTACGAACGGCGGGCCGGTGAGCCTGCGTGAGCAAATCACGACCATACGATGTTCAAGCGATAACAATTTCAAAATGAAACGGAAGTCCATAACAGAGGTGTTTCCCGCAGCCGAATGCTACATTGAATCCGAGCCAACTTCGAGAAGCGTGTCACGTAATGCCACGCCCACAACACATCTAAGTGTACCGCCTACCGTAGCATTGACGCAGATGCAACGCAACTTGTCCTTTCACAAGCCGGTGCTATCTCACGAGAGGGAAGACAGGAGCAAACAGGAGCGAGACAGCGCCTCCGAGTGGCATCGCAAGAAGCCCAGCATCTGGGAGATGTACTACGGCACTAATCGACTGCATCAGTCCTTGCTGGGAAAGCAACGCAATGGAGAACTTGTCATATCCAGCACGCAGCCCACATTGTCTTATGTGAGTATGGCGTTAATTAAATTCTTGATCATCTATTTTTCAAGCTTGTCGAGCTTCAAATCAAGTTAGACCAGCACGAACATCTAACATGTTTCCAAGAAATAAGTGCCAATATGCTTGATTAGTAGCTGTTTCTACAACTAAATATATCCTTAGTGAGATAAATTTGGGCACAACAGATTAGTCAGGAAAGCTTAGCACTAGTTATTTATTTGAATTAATTCTTTATGACCTGGGATTTTTTTAAGTATTTAGTATTTATTTAAGATCTGTCCCTGTTGCACAATTATTATTAAATTTATGATCGCTTTGAAATTTTCAATCATGCTCCTGTCCTTGTCCTGATGGTTGCGGTGTGCTTCAAACAAAATGCTTACTCAGGAACGAACTCCCATTGTGGGATTCCGGCTAGCTCGATGAGCTATGCCAGGCCCCAGCTTAGATATTTGAAGCTTCCTTTAGTTTTGTTTTTAAGTCAGACATACGCGTAGCATTGAAGAACTTGAAAGATCATAGGAAAGGAATTATTGATTTGTGATCGCTTTCCACTCAATGCATAAGTATCTAGTATCCTAGACCATACACATGTATGCCACCATTTTGAAGATATTGCCTTAAGATTCTTGTTGACATACACATAAATGCAAAACTCAAAGAGCATATATGACTCAAAAGAGCATATATGATTATTATAATTATCTGGCTGTCAACATATTTTGTCGCAACTCTTCATCAAATGACCAGGCTTGAATGAATTCTTAAATATACGAGTATTAGCCATTGTTTAACTTGACCCACCAAAGCAGACCGTAAATTACCAGCAATTTATCAAATTATCTTATTTAACTTAATGCATATTCGAAAAGGGGGTAACATGCCTCCAAATGATGCGCATCGACTCATCAATTTGCAATAAACATGCACTTGCTTATTTAAATGAAAATACAACGGCATCGATTTCTGCTTTTTGAGTTTTTTTTTTTTTTTCATTTAAGTCTCTTTCCAAGCACATGTGGCCGCGTATTCGTGCAAAATTTTATTAATTTTATCCTTGGCCGCATTGCGTCCGATTTTGGTAGCATTGGCAGCAGTAGCGATACCAGCAGCAGCAGCAGCAGTAGCGCTCAATTATTCAAGTGTACAAGTGTTTGTTATGCATTTCGTATTTGGAAGAGTGCTCGACACCCACACCCACACCTGCACAACGCAATGCAATGCGCTTAAAATGCACGTTGCGCATGCGCAGGTGAGTTCGCAACTCGAAGCACTCGCATTGACCGTCACTGTTAGCGTCGACGTCGCCGGATGAGTTGTGCTAGACGTCATCAGAGTTGACGCCATTGTACTTATTATTATTCGATGAGCGCTATTCTATATCTGTATACACACATGCACTTGTATGTAAATGTATGATTATAGCGTCGTTAAGGCCTTTTGATTTGGCAATACTTTGCCAGCATTATGATTAATGATGTGCGTGTGCCGAGTGCTACTGTGTTATTTGTTGCCAAGGCACGGGCATGACTTCTGAGGCTAAGCTTTGCACTCGCATGCCCAATTTATTCTTGGACATATGGCATCTACATATATCATAGTTAGTTAGCCATTTGACATAATTGAGGACAGACTCCAATTAATTTAAATAGTAAACTTGTAAAGCTGGAATTGTTTTTAGAAATTTAAAAATGTATCCATTTAATAAAGTAATATTCATGATTTCGTTGAAAAACATACTTTCTTTTGGCAGACTGATGTGAATGAATCCAAAATCTTGAGATTAACTTTACTCGTCTACATACATATATCTCTATATACATATGTATCTAAGTTAGTTATCATTTAAGTTAGTTATCAAAGACAGACTCGATTAATGTGAATAGAGATCTTATAATGCTTGCACAGTTTTTTGAAATTTAAAAATGTATGCATTTAATAAAGTAATATTCATGATTTCGTTGAAAAGCATACTTTCTTTTGGCAGACTGATGTGAATGAATCCAAAATCTTGAGATTAACTTTACTCGTTTTATTCTTGGACATATAGCATCTACAAACATATATCTCTATATACATATATATCTAAGTTAGTTATCATTTGATATAATTGAATCAAAAATCTTAAGATTGACTTTACTCGTTTTTGAAGGCTAGGATGTGCTATTTCATCTAGTTTATCTTCATGGCTACTCTGTTTATGTTTATCTTATATCCGTTTGGCGCCAACTTTAATAACCTGCAGGAATCTACCTCCATTAGTTTCATAAGAATAGAAAAGTTGAATTAAAAGATATTAACAATGTTTTGTGAACTAAATTGTGAAAAAACAAAAATACAGGAAGCGGAATGACGTACCTTTTATTTTAGATAATTATAATAATAGTATACTCTTTTACGACTTGTGATTTTTGAATGAAGCTGCAAAATACATACACGATAGAACTCGATATTTGTATTTGAATTGTCTCCCCCAAATTTATTATTTGTGATAGTGATGATTTGTTTATTATAACCATTAGTATTTTTAATCCTATTTTTTAATGCCTTTTTCTTAGACTGGTGTATACCCTTTCAAAAACAGAGTATAAGAATAGCATAATTAATCAAAACAAAAGTATAATTTAAATAAGAAGGCTGTTTTGTTTTTTAATTTAGTTTCATTGGGCTACTGTCAAGCATCCTCATTATCAGCTGCGCACTCGTTTGAATATTTGTATTTATTTGTTTATTTTGTTTCATCGTTAATAGTTAAAACTTAAATCCAGAAAAGTTTAATTGAGACTTAAAAATGTGAAGAGCCCCCGCCGGAAACAATTCCATAAAACGAGCTCTGTTTACTGTACACATTTGTTCAATTCATGCGAACTCTTATAAAACAGCAGCTGTTGTTACTGTTTGCCAAAACACTTAGACCATCAGGGTCGAGACGTGCAAGTGTTTGCATAGCTTCCGTTCTCCCCAAACAATTCAAATTATACATTATTAACACCTTAAACTGAACGGTTGGATTATGTAATATCCGTTAAGCAAACTAGGCAACTATTTGCATGCATGTCTAGAATCTTAATGAGTTTTCACTTTCAATGCCACGCATGCATATATGTACATATATGAACTACAAGTATATGTTTATACATATGTATATAAGTATATCTATTTTTGCTGAGTCACACAGTTTGCAAGCACGCGTCATCGGTTTATTCACCTTAGGTGGAATTGGTACAATTGTATTATGGCTCTATGGTCATACATATGTATATATGTATTTAATTTTCATACATATGTACATACATACTAGATGTAGATATGAATGCATTTATAAGCAGTGCATAAATGTGGGATTTGAACTTGAATACCATTTTCAATGCTTTCGGTGCAGACATTCGTATGATCACCCAGCCAGAAAGGGAAAGAGAAACTGTACTTGTTAACCTTTAAATTCCGTTAAAAATGCAGGCAAGCAGCATCTTGCTGTAGACAAAGCAGACTGACTAGCTGACTGACCGTCCGACTAACTAAAAAACTGTCTAGCTGACTAGCTGACGGACTGGTCAGTTGATTGGCCATTGATGTTGTTGCGCGATAAAATCCCAAGATAAAGCAGAGCCACAGACAGCCACAGCGGCATGCAACAAGTTGCGACCGCCACTGGGCTCTATATGAGTAGCTGGCCACAGAAACCGGTGTCGAGCTTGTTGTCCTACAGTCAACAACAGTAACAAGTCGTCTGACCTTTAAGGACGTTTGCAGCAAGGAAGATGCAAAAAAACAAGCTGCACAAAAGCAACAACAATAAAAGAAACAGAAGCTGCCTTACTGCCTTACTGGCTTTTCGCATGCCAGACCCGAAAAAAATAATACAGAAAACTCGTCCGATGGCAAATGGCCTGCGGCGTACTGCCGCTCGGCAAACAAGTTTTATATCATGAATGCCAAAATAAAAACGAAAACGAAATGTAAGCCGATATGGCCAAAAGGTAGCTGCATGTATTTATATAGAAGTTGTCGCTGCAACTGCTGCTGCTGAGGCTGGGGCAGCAACACAAACGCGCCACAAAGTGTTGCAATCGCAGCAAAATGCCAGCGCCAGCGCCAGTGCCAACGCAGTGGGCTGTTGCCTCCAACGAAACTGGGTTATGGCAATTTCCATTTGACCAGCAATCAGCAAAATCAGCGACCACCAAAAAGAAAAACCAGCGGGTAATCGCGGCCGTCTGGCCAAATTGTCACACAACTGGTCAGAACGGGCAGCCAAATTTATGGTGTGCTCTTCGTGGCCAGCAGGGACAAACAAACTTACCATGAGCACAAACGAGTCTACAAATAAAGTCAGATGTGTGTAAGGTGACCAGCTATAACCTAAACAATTATTTTCCAATTTTTCTTAAGCAAATACATTCTTTTTCAGATTATAATTGAATTATTGAAATAGTGCAAGGGTCACAAATAATAAGAATGGAGGCGCAAATGCAATGATGCTTTCCAAAACAAAAATTAATAGCACGGCAATGTTTAAGTTGTAAATATAACTTCGCAAAAAATTACAGATCATTATAAATTACTTTGAAATTTGAACGCCCACAGGCCTGCTGTGCCATTGTGGTAGTTCTTTGGTTTTTATATAAAGTGTATCTTGTGGAAAACCCAGGTCTTCATATAATGTTTCACCCAAGTGCTGGGTTTGTTTTCTAAGATATAGCAGGGCAGTCATATCGCTATCTGAATCCTGTACTTGGTAAAGTGGAGAAGATTGGATCTTACTTCATACCATCAAAGCATTAGTGGCTTCATAATATCTTTTTTCTAAAACGAGTATGCTGTGTAACTTTTTCGTAAAAGAATTTATTGCATTCTTTTCTAGTCGTTGGTCTTGGAGCTCCAATTTTAGGCAGCTTGTAATCTCTTGGTGAAAGGACGGACCTCCAGGATATATTCTTAGGTCTCATCTTTCTAATTTCCACAATTTTAAACATGTTTAAATTCTTTGTGTCTTTCTACATTTT